CTGGGAAAAGGCTAATTGGGCGGAAGTCTTCAGATTTGCTGGCATTCTGTGTTTTTGGAATCAATTTGATATTTGCTTTTTTCCACACAGCTGGAAAAAATCCTGTCCTCAGACATTCATTGTATAGGTGTACAATTGCCATGGGTATTGCTTTAAATGCATTTTTTACCGTTTCCGCAGTTATATTGTCCAAGCCTGGAGATTTTCTATTTGCTATCGATAGTATGGTTTCTTGCACCTCTTGGAAAGTAAAAAGGCTATCCTGTATTTGTGTAGATCGATGTTGTGTTGCGTTCCTCATTTCTTTATGTAAGTCCGAGTCTTTGATTTTGTCATCGATAGGAAAATGGAATTGTAAATTTCTTCTGGTCCAATTCCGGGTTATTCCCATTTCCTCCGATCAAATTGGGAACCTGACATTTCCTCTTTTTTGTTGAAAATTACTCAATATATCACGTTCCATGGATTCCTCCTCAATTCTTTTCCGCAGAAATCCCGCCAGGCCTTTGTACGCATGCTATTTATGGCTTTTTTGTATTCTTTTAGAGCCTTCCTGTATTCCTCCTTGTGATTATTTCTAAATTTGTCATCTCTGGCTCTGGTCATTTTCTTCCTCAACTTTCAGACGTTTTTCCGCTGTTCAGATAAGTTATTTGTCCACCAGATTGTTCTTTTTATGTCTGTTTTGATCATTCTTGTTGATAGCTCTTCTGCTTCCTGGATTGCTCTTGTGATATGTTCTCTATATTCATTCATGTCTTCTTCACTTTCAATATCATGAAATCTGTATCTTCGCCAACGGTCAGCAAAGTATTTGGCAAACAGGTCCCAGTTTGTTTTCCTCGTATATCTGTAGTTCTCCGTTTTTTGGTCAGTTCTTGTCATTTCGGCATAAATGAACCTATGGTCGCTCGCTGACTCCTGAAGGAGTGTCTTGCAAGTAATGATGTTGCCACTTATGCCAGTTGGGGCGAGGAAGACATCATCCACCCTTCGGCATATGCCATGAAGAACGTTGGGTAGTTTGATGTGTTAGCAGAAAACAAGTCATAGCTATCCATCAGTTTATTTATTAATCGGCCCCTATTGTCCTCTCTTGGGTGGACCCAATTAGGAGACTAGGCATTCACATCACCCACCAAAATATAGTTATTGCTATTGAGCTGTTCAATCACCTTTTCCAATTCCGCAATACAGCTTTCATCCTCGTCCTCTGGTGTAAAATATAAACTTAGAATGTAGAGTTGTGGGTTTTGATATACAGCCACTGTTGTTATCCGTTGTGTTGTGAGATGTAGTATTGCTGCTACATCCAGATTCTTGTCCCTCACTATGATCCCACATTTTGGCCTTCTCACCATTTCCCGTAGTCATTACCCTCCATCTGCCATAACCCACTATTTTATTCCTAATAGTGTATGGTTCCTGAACTATAATTAAGTTTATATCCATTTCATTTGCAATTTTGACCGTCATGGAGCTCGCTGCCTTGCACCTTTGGGTGTTGATCTGTAATATCTGAATATGTGTTGTTTTTGTGTTATTTCCGTTGTTCATCTGAGTAGGACTGTTGTTTATTCTAGAATTCATCAGAAAATCAAGGAACTAATAATATCCTTGATTTTCTGAGTTGTTGGACAATAAGGACTGAATGCATTATGGTCCGTCCTTAACCTTTTGTCCTTCGGAAGCTTTTTATTTTCTTGTGCACAATTGATGCAAGTTGTAAATTCTGTAAATTTGTGATCGTTCCCACAATGACTACATGTCTGTTTCTTTTTGCAATCTTGTGCTAAGTGTTGGTAGCCACAGCAATTTTAGCAACAAATTGTTGGGAGAAAGTCATCCACCTTTATTTGAGCCCATAGAGTGCGATATGTTTTAGGGTAATGAGTTCTTTTCTGATTTTTGAAGAGAGACTATAAATTAAGTGCCAGCAGTTTTCTTTAAATTTTCCTTGTACGTTGAATTGTATGATCTTACATTCTCTGAGAAATTCCTCTCTGTCTATATTTTGCAGTGCCTGATTTTGTTCGTATAGGATATCTAGAACTTGATCAGTTTCGATAGAGTTGGGAACATTAACCAGTATTATCCGTGGCTTCCTTCCTTCGGATATTTTGCATGTAATATTTGCTTGTATTTCTTTTATTTCCTTTATCGCTCTTTCCAGTTTCTCTCCCTCCTCTTTGGTTCCAACCCTGAAACACACCCCATCACCTTTCACCTGTCATATGGCTCTAACGTTAATTTTTATGTAGAAGACGTGGTTGCTGTATCTTCAAATTCTGTGTGTAGCGTCTTTGTAATTCAAACGATAATTTTGGTAGATGATCAAACAGCAATTAGTTAGAAAAACGTTACGTTTTATTTAAAAGAACACTTTTTTAATATTCAGATGCATTTCGGGTTGGCTTGTATTCTTAATCCCTCTTCAGTGCTGTTAAAATTACAAAAAACAAGGCGAGTTCCACGACATTGGTAAGTAGGATTTAACATAAACGCGGGTTGACAATAACATAAAAACCTTACATGTTATATAATGGTACAGCATAGACATGTGTGACAATATTTTTATTACATAGTTGTACGACTATTTCCTATAATATGAAAAAAGTAAAGGGTGTGGTCGTTTAACACAATATATATAACATAGATTATTAATTTCAAAATATCTATAAACACTTACATTTTTAGTTAAATTGTATTATTCTTGATAAAAAATGGAACAGAGTACAAATTGACAACAGGTGTTAACCGAGCAACATCACTTGTCTGTGTACTGTTGCTTGGTGAACACCGGTTAGCACTTGTTGTCAACCCTCTGTTCCATTTTTTATCAAGAATAATACAATTTAACTAAAAATGTAAGTGTTTATAGATATTTTGAAATTAATAATCTATGTTATATATATTCTTCATGCAAATGATGTGTTAAACGACCACACCCTTTACTTTTTTCATATTATAGGAAATAGTTGTACAACTATGTAATAAAAATATTGTCACACATGTCTATGCTGTACCATTATATAACATGTAAGGTTTTTATGTTATTGTCAACCCGCGTTTATGTTAAATCCTACTTACCAATGTCGTGAAACTCACCTTGTTTTTTGTAATTTTAACAGCACTGAAGAGGGGTTAAGAATACAAGCCAACCCGAAATGCATCTGAATTTTAAAAAAGTGTTCTTTTAAATAAACCGTAACGTTTTTCTAACTAATTGCTGTTTGATCGTCTACCAAAATTATTGTTTGGATTACAAAGACGCTACACACAAAGTTAATTTTTATCTTGTTGGGTTCCACTTTTTCCATAATCTCTTTTGTTATATTTTTCATATCAATTTTCTGTCCCTCTTTTTGATTTGGATATAAGATTAGAGTATGTCCTCCTCCAGTCCCTTCCTTGTTGGCTATTACTCTATCGATGGATCTTGTTGTTGTGCTGGGATTTGGAGCCATTTTCACCATTTCTGTGTAGGTCGGAATTCTCTTGTCTTGGCTGTTTTTTAAGGGTTCTGGTTGAGTGTTGATGGTTGATGTTTTCCTTGTATTTCTAAGTTCAGTCAATATGCTGTACATTTGATTCACTGTGGCAAACAGATTTGACACCCTTGCTTTAATCTCCCTCCTTTTTTCGGTCTTAATGTTTGACCGATCAAGCTCCGGAATGAGATCCATAATCCTCTTCATTTGTGCTCTCGCTTCTCGGAGAATATCGCTCTCGGTGGTACAATTCGCATTAATATGTACTGTTTGTTCACCCTGTGAGCCTTCAAGATCAAAATCGGTAAGCTGGCTGGTAGAATCCCTCATGTCTTTCATATTCACTATCCAAGCAAACCGGACAGAGTACTACACCCGACTTATCCAAAAAAACCGAGAAAAACGAAGGAAAACCTTCCAAAGCCCAAAAAAACAACACCAAGAGGGGCACAAAAAAAAAACTGTTGCCAGGAGAGACTTGGCTGATAAACTGGCCGAAAAACTCGAAAAAACCGTTAAAAAACAAAAAAGATACAAAAAACCGGCTTTTATGACAAGCAATCTCAAGGCACTGAGTGACAACGAATTAGGTTCAATAGGAGTATATTAGACCAGTCGGCATTCTTCCCAACAAAAAGGTGCAAAAACTCCTAAACTAATTTAACCAAAAAAAAAAAAATTACCAGAAAAATGCCTTACTATATCACTAACAAAACACCGGATCCACAACTTCGTGGAAAGAAAAGTAGGCCTGCCAGAGTAACATTAGTAATATACTAATAACACGTACCAAACGGTTAACTGGTAACTGCTGTAGCAACCGAGAAAAACGATTAAAATCCTTTCAAACACTATGAGTATATCATTGACTCCAAAATCATTTTACAATGAATGCTATACACCACACCTGATTAACCTAGCAAGTTGAAAATTACAGAATATCAAGTGAATATTACAATGCAACTAACACCCCAGTCTTGGTTCAATCGGAGTGGCCGAGAGCCCGCAGTAGGCCCGCAAAGCGCAAAAATTTTAATCCCTAAAAACAGCCATAGATAAAAAGTCCAGCGGAACGTCGAAAATGGATTTCAACCCGCAATAAAGACCCTAAGCCCAGTTAAAATTTGAAGCCGACACTATGAACCATTCGCCCATAATTTTAAAATTAAAATTAAAAACAACCGTTGTAATGGTCAACCACTATCAGTACAAAAACAGTCGTATAAACCGAACTAATGGACTGATTTTAATAAATGAAACAAATTTTAAAAACCGGAGATCGTCAGTAATAAGATGGAATCAGCAAAACTTACCCAAAGCCGAAAAATCCAGATAAAATCGAATGCAGCACAGAGCCCAAGTTTGCACAAATCAACTCTGAAAAGTTGTCGTTGGAAGACTTTCTCCACTTATGCGTTACGCGTTACTCCTTCTCGACCGGCAATTTCGAGAGTCGATAAGTTACTGGAAGCCACTTTTCTTTTATTTCTTGGTTTACTTTCGTGGCACATGCAGGCACAGAGCACGTGCGAAGAGGTGACAAACAAGTGCACGGCCAGACACCTATGCTGCTTGGTCATGCACAGTTACAGAATCAGTTGTGAGTGAGAGAGATACAGACTGACCGACAACTGCTCGGACGTGTGCCGAATTTGAAGGCATTGACTCCTATCAGAAATGAATTTTGGTACAAGATACTTTATTTAAATACTAGTATCCTGGGACTCCCCCTAGTGGACGTTATTTACAAATTGCCATTACCTGTTGAATGGGTTAATAGATATTAAAATATTACCTTATATTACCTTAACTATTTCAAACCTTATCGTCTTACGTAGTGATTCAAACCTATCCGGTTTTTCGTTATTCGCCCCCTAGTGAACATTACATGCATTCCGTGACAAAAATAAATTCCTATTACAAATATACTGAATTATTTATATTGTTATATTGACCAAATAATAATTTATTGGCCAAATGAATAATAATAATTTATATTGTTAATTTAAATAATAATTAAAATTGTTAATTTAATTTGAATGTTTGAAATATGACACACGATAGGGGTGCCTCTAGTGTCTGTTATCAAACGGTTACGGGACGTACGGACGGATACCTGTTGAATGAGTTATATATATAGATACATGTTGAAATTCCTCCCACTGGGGAGAGATGGACAGGATTAAGGCTTACCGTAAAGAACTCTGCTTCTATTATACTATTTTAGATGTGTTTTTTTTGCGTTTTTGATTGCGTTTTAATAGGGTACATCAAGAGAATGTACACTAAGAAAGGGATTTTTCGAAATTCCCTTCTGCGGGGAGTGTTATACATTTATAATAGTTTATAGTTTGTAAAGAAAATGGCCTTAACTTGGAAGTATAGCCAGAAGGAAGGGAAGAGGGAGGGATGGAGATAGAGTGGGGTGAAGAGTGAGGAGTGAGTGGGAATGGGGAAAGAGAAAAGGGGAAAAGGAGAAAACAAGGGCACCTGCCGCGAATTGTCTGTCCAAAGAGAACAATTTACAATTAACGTGTTTGGATTAAATGAACGCGTGTAGGATACTGAGAGTAAAGTGGGCACCTTTCATAGGCATGACAAATAGCAAGAGAACAATAACATGAGGTGCCAGAGAGAGTATGAACAGGGAGCACCTTGATAGTGGGGTACAATGGTGTAGGTGGACAGATACAGTCAGGTTAGAGTCAGAGAGTCTTGAGAATACATTTATAAATAGATACATTTTGAGCCACAGCAATGCATGGCCAGGTACAGCTAGTGATAATTAAATGTAGTTAAGATAAAATTATTTACTGAACCTTGTAAATATTAATGTGACTGTTAATGTCTGTTAAAGGAATGATTTAATGTAAGCAACTGACAATATTAGTTAGTTACATTACAAACACCAGAAAACAATACGATATTACAATAATATTGTTTCTGGGTAACAAGTGATAAGTGAACCATTGATGATGTAAAATAAAATACATAAATTTTAAATAAATGTTTTTGCTTAATATATCATCAAATTGTACACAAAAATGTATTATTCACACACTGAAGTATATGTAGTTGTTGGTTATACTGTCAAAAAGAACAAGTGAGTTAGTAAAAATTAATTAATGTAAAATAAAATGCGAGTATTTTCAGAGTATTAATTGTTTATAGACTGCTCTCCCCTTAAAGTACAATTCTTAAATGACTACAATATATTCAAAAATCAAGCATTCCTTTCAAAC